TCATTGGGATTAAAAGTTTACTTGGAAATAATGTATATCATTTGGGGTAAATTGTTTGCCATAATGCAAGCAGAGAACTGGTTCACCAGGAAATTGTTGCATAACTGGGGATTAAAAATGCATAGGGAAATAGAGTCAAAATCCTGTCATTGGGAGTGGAAATTACAACTAATTCTGAGGTAATTGGAAGTTAACTATTTATATATTGGTACCAAAAGTGAATTGCCATTGCAGAATTTATTATAACCCAGAACTTGCTAAATAAAAAGCATGGCATTTTTATATGTAGTAAAATACACTTTCCCCTCTTCTTCAGTATGTGTGTCTATCATCTTGGAATAATGGATTCCCCCCCCCCCCCGGCTTGTTACACCTTGTATCAAAAAGGGAGAATATCACCCTTTTTCACTTTTATTACTTGTAAGAGGAACAAGTGACCACTAGCAAGAAATTAATTCATGGTAGAAATTTAGAGTAAAGTACTGTGGGCTGTACATGGATGTTTGTAAATTTAAGGGGCAAAACTCACATGTGTCAGTCATCTAGAATGCCTGAGAAGATGTGAATTTGAGAAAAGGTGCTAGAACCATAAACAATGTAGGCAGTAAACATGGTCAAGATACATAACACTGTTAAACAAGTGTTGCTCATTCTAAATCCCATTTTATTTGTATGTCAATAACTAGTTGCTTTTGCTGTTTCTGAAGGGAAATTCTTCACTCACAATATGAATGTTTGGAAGTACAACCATCTTGAGGAGTAAGAAGATCTTTTTATAATGACAACTGGGTCTTCTGCTTGCCTGATTTTCCTTCTCAGGGCAAGATTCTGTGTGAATATCTGCTACATTCCCTGAATATTGTAGGTGGCAAGGTTGTTGTCTTAAGACAATTGGGTTTGAGAGGTACCTTAGATGGTCTTCCATTGGGTGGAAGATGGGATTTTTCTCAGGCTGGCCACTTGTACTCTTCCTTCTCCCCTTCAGAGGCTACTTTAGGCCAGCCAGGGAGGAAGGACGTAATGACTCTGCTAATAAGGAGAGATGCTAGGGTCACTTGCAAACAAGCATGGTATCAACTGCCTGGATATCATCTCATTCACTTCGCACTGAAGATCTTTAGTGGTGAGAGTGCAGACTTTAGTTCCCACCTTGCCACAGATAACTGGTGGGGGTACGGCACTGCTGAAGACATATCGTTGTGGGTAATCTTGGCACAAGTGGGTGGTGAGGGCACTTCGTTGCTGATGTCTCACTGTCACTGGCCATTTCACCACAGGGGGCTTGCATTGCCACACAATTGCTGGATACGCCACACCGATGCCCATGGTGGCTTGGGAGGATGTGTAATTGCTGAGGTAGCACTGTTGCTCCCCGTCTTGTGTGGCCAGGAGATATTGTTGTGCAAAGACTGCCTTTTTATTCCCCTTCATTGACAGAGGCATCTTTTGTTGGGAAAGACAAAGAGGTGGCAAAATCTTAGCTTCAAAACTATCACATTTCCTCATTTGGCTGATTACCAAGTTCCTTCGTTGCCGATTTCTTCCTTGTTTCCTCTTCTGTTTCTGTCGCAATTTCTTCTGAGGTTTTAACTTTTTCTGGGTTGGAACAATAGCCATTGTTTCAATCGTCTGTACTTACGCTCACCTGACGTTTGTAGTGATAAGTGCCTCCGTAATGTCTCTCCCTTTTCTGTCATATACTGGCTTGTATTCAAATGAGCGCCCAGCCCTTTGCCCTTTGATTGGTCAACTAGAACAATGCTTTACCTTGAGAGTTAACAGTAGTACCCGAAAAGCCCAACACTTCATAATAAGTATTGTGAGCTTTCCCTCTCCCCCACAGGAGAATAAAGAGGGCTGTGACATCACATGTGTCTATTGACCAATAGGAAAGGATAGAACAGACAGATTAAGAGAATTTTGAAAAAAAGAAATTCTTCTAGCCCTACTTCTAACTGATGTTGTTACTTAAATATAACATGAATTGGTAGTAGTAAACAAATACATATAGATGTTTGTAACTCTTATTTTTTTCCTGTCATAAACAAGAAATAATATATACATATATCTATAATATTTTGTGCAGATAAAAGCAGGCATGCAAAATGAGAGCCATTTAGTTCTATGGGAAATGATAAATGCTGAGGATTAGCAACCATCTCACATATTTGCCCTCTCTGTTGCCCAACAATTTCTTCCCAGAAAGAAGAAGGAAATTGTGTATACATCTGGAGACATGGGGAACCAAGAAAAGCCATTAATGGCTATTGACTATTCTTTTGCTATGAACAGAATTGGCAACTTTGTTCCTTTAAATTAACATGACTATGAATTTAGGAACATGAATTTAACTGAACTCTTAATGATCTAGTATCTAGACCAGGGATGGCGAATCTTTTTGTAAAGGCGTGCCAAAATTGTGTGTGTGCTATCGCACGTGCGTGCCCACACTTACAATTCAATACACCCTGCCCACCTGCGCATGTGTGCGCAACCTCCGCCCCACACATGCACGCATGCCATCCCCCCCACCCCCGTGTGAGTTTTTGCCCTCCTCAGGCTCTGGAGGCTTTCCTGAAGGCTGGGGAGGGTGAAAATGGCCTCCTTGCCCCCCTGGAAGCTGGAAACAGATCACTCTCGAACTTCTGTTTGGCCTGTTGGGCCTTTTTTTCGCTCCCCCTTCCCCCAGACTCCGGAGGCTTTCCTAAAGCCTAGGGAGGGCAAAATGGCCTCCCGCGGAAGCTGGAAACAGATCAATCTCAAACTTCTGTTTGGTCTGTTGGGCCTTTTTTTCGCTTCCCCTTCCCCCAGACTCCGGAGGCTTTCCTAA